TTGAAGAATTAGAATGCGGGAAAGGTGAGAATTGGCCCATGAATTGATAAAGTGGCAGGAATTTGTCCAACGGTGAAGAACGTTGGAGTTCCATAAACTCTATTTGATGATTTGAATTATTGGACGTTTGCATTACAATCTGGGGCAAGCGGTAGCGTAGTTGGTTAAGGCACTATGCTACAAGCCGGAAGGTCGCAGGATCGAATTCCGACGAGGTCATTGGATTTTTTTTTTCAATTTACCTAATCCTTCCAGTCGCATTATGGCTCTGGAGTCGAATCAGCCTCGAACAGAAATGAGTACCAGGAATATTCTTGGAATGTTCTTGTGGGTAAAGGGCGGCCGGCGCGTAGGGCTGACAACTTTGCCACCATCTGTGAGCCGATTGTGTAGAAAATGTGGGAACCTCAACATCTCACAACCCTATGGGACCCCACGGCATGTTACACGGATACCTTTACTTACTTAACTTACTTTTACTCCATTGCAATCACACTTGATTATAACAGCTCACATGTTGAACTCCTTCCTAACGACGTCTGTTTCTCACTGTTGTCTGAATCTCGGACTGCTCTCTAGTATCTTGAATTCCGGATCTAATAAACTTACATACACACGCTGAATTAATAGGTCTTCCAGCAGTCGGTATAACGACTGGCTACGGAATGGACGACCAAGGGATCGGCGTTCGTGTACCGGTGGGGTCAAAAATATTCACTTCTCCATGTCGTGCAGACCGGCTCTGGGGTCCACCGAACCTTGTATCCAACGGGTAGCGGGGGCTCTTTCCCCGGGGATAAAGCGGCCGGGGAGTGAAGCTGACCACTCACCTCCAACGTGTGCCTAGGTCAAGAAAACGTGGATCTATACATCCACTCCCCTATACGTCTCCATGGGCTAGTGCTTAATTAGTTAAGCACAGGAACAACTTTTACCTTATCCCGCTACTAATGAAACAAAGTGTACTACGGAATTTATTTATTTGCATCTTAATCTTTCTAGCTGTGTTTTCTGTTGCGGTTTTCTAAACAAAATAGTGACATATTTTTCGTATGAGCTTGTAGTTTACTTAAAGACGGTTTCAATAGCTAAAATTTTATACTGTCAAATTGTAGGGTGATTATTGAACACTGAATCGGGGAAATCATGGAAGAGAATAGGTGAAGTCTAATTTAAGATGTTATCTACGAATTTTCCTGGAACACTTTGGAAAGTCAGAGAAATCTCAGAATAATTTGATGTTCAGACGAAGGTTCAAACTAGCCACCTCCTGAGTAAAAGTGAAAAGCTTACCGTTAGATCTAACTTGCTCGAATGCTAAATTTAGTGGTTTAAAACTCATCAGCAGCCCCATAATTCAGGGACAGACGTACTCTCCATCGCTCTTTTTCTGCAGCTGCCATTTCAATGCAAACGTACTTCACAATTCATTGTCTTGAGACGTGATCTCTTTCATTCATGTTTTTTCCACATCAACGCCGAAATTACGTAAATAAGATTTGTAATTCGCTGGCAAAAAATGAGATCTGGTCCATAAAAATTGATTATATTTCTTTTTCCTTGAAAAAACTGTATAANGTCTTGAGACGTGATCTCTTTCATTCATGTTTTTTCCACATCAACGCCGAAATTACGTAAATAAGATTTGTAATTCGCTGGCAAAAAATGAGATCTGGTCCATAAAAATTGATTATATTTCTTTTTCCTTGAAAAAAAACTGTACATTTTGTAACGTCTTTCAACGCCTGTTTTTAAAATCGCATTGTCATTTATTTACAGCAAAGAAACCTTGATTAAACACCATGTTCATGGGCAGAACTGTTGCTCTGATCTTAACAGTGAACCTAATGTCAAAAGAAACTTTAACTTTGTTCCTGATAATTTCCATGCAGAGGGAATATACACCTATACAGGCTAGTGAAAATTATGCTCAGATAAACAGTACGAAATGCCGTCACACTGAATTAGCAGTTTCCCTTAATCTCATGCTGTAAATGAAAGCATTGAAATTGACTTTGTAATTTCTTGCTATAATTTTTTGTTAATTTCAATATGTGCTTCAATGAAATCTATGTTCTGTGTTTGAATAAAATATCTGTAAGCCTGAAGAGTCATGCCGCTTTACCTCTCCTTGGTACCACTCCATATGTGAATGTTCCGTGCATTATCCTTCCTTTTATATTCTTATTCGGTTACGAAGTGGAACAACCTCCAGGGCAGGAATGCAGACCGCCAGTTCCAGTTCCAAATTTGCGTCATACCCAAATTCTGGCTTGCGCTAATCAGTGCAGATTTGTCCATATGAACATGTTGAGCCGCTTCATACCTGCCACTCTCAACACAACTACACACAAGCCATGAACTGACGCACTGTTTACAAATGCACAAATGCAGGTGATTAGTTAAGTGAGGAATGGAGATCTATTTCTGCTAGTGCGCTACTTTAGATAAGTTTGGCAGGTATCATGGGGCCGTAGCTGTGGACCAGTGGGCAGAGTTCCTGGCTACAAATCCAGAGGTCCCGGGTTCGTTTCCCGGCGCTATCAGATTTTGTGAGAAGCATTGGGTCTGGAACGTGGTCCACTCAACCTCGGGAGTATAATTGAGGAGATATTTCAAGGAAATAGAGGCTCTGGTCTAGAAAATCGAGATTAACTGCCGTGGGGATCCGTTGCGCTGATCACGTGACAAATTTCTAGCCGCAAAAGATGACACTAACTTCGCCGACAAGCGGCGGTCGCTCGGTCGGTATAGTTCGCTTGCGGACTACAGGCCACGGGGTTTGTTTTGTTTTGTTTTTGGCGGGTATCATACACTTATGGATGTAAAAATGTAAATGCTGATTTGGGGCCTCCCATTTACACATGAACAAGCTTATACAGTATGCACAAGTTAAAATATATTTTGAAGATACTAAATCATAAAATGTATTGGTTTACTTTTTGATTAATAATTAACTGATGGGTTGTCTATTAAATATTCCACGAGTCATTCTGTGTTCATAAAATAATCGTAAGTTAATTTAATTAATGAAATAAATTATAGCTCCGATAATCGTTAACCAGTACATTCAAGTCTGGGATGTCTTCTGTTGTTCAATATTGATCCAAAGTGATTACCGGACATTGTATCTCTAAGCCCTGGTTGTTCAGTTTCGTCAGAGAAGTGTCACTTCTCACAGGAGCAATTAACACAGACATCATTTGATGAAGACGCCTTAATTCTGGAACAGCACAACCATTAAGAGAGGCGTAAAAAATTGACGGTGTCACTGATTCGAATTACAGTGAAGAACTTCTTTTGGCTTATTTTGGATTATTATCACTGGACCCAGTGATTGAGACTAGCTCTTTCTAAGGGGCCCAACTGAGTAGGTTAAACCTTCCCTATCCACCTGAAAACGGAGACAGATCCAGTCTCCGAAACGTCGTGGTTTTTTGTCTTTTATATACCGGACGATGGGTGAAGTCCAAAATAAGCCAAAAGAAGTACAGTATACACCATCGTCAGAATCCTTTCAAGTCTATACAGTGAAGAAATTAGTCGTTTTATCAAAGAAGTTAGCCAACATTTAGGTCAATTTTAGTTTTATTGACGTCAGATGAAAACTGAGGGCCGACGAGTCAGTTTCTTTTTATCGGAATCTTAGAAATGTTGGGAGGGATCTGGAAGTTTTGTTCGGCCAAACCGAGGTCACTGGCCAGCATGTTCCTGCGCCACCGTTATGCGGAGTAGACAGTGCAGGAGAAAGGGTGAAGGAACACCATTCCATATTTGTTAACTTCTAAAGTAAATCTGGAAATATTGCTCGAACAGCCGCATCGTTTCTTCTCTAGAACCTTTTTTTTTTCCTTGGCACTACAGCACCAGTGGGCCTAGGCCTACTCCACGAACTTCTCCTTTCACTTCGGTTCTCTAGAACCTATGAAGGCCTATAAAGGACATGCAATTAAAACTCTGAACTGAATTGAGTGGTCACCTGTAGAGTCAGGAGAAAAACCATAAAACATAAGGCAGTACGGTCCCTGAAGCCATTCTCGAAAAGGTAAACCCACCACACCCCTAGCAAGTCACTTCTCTACTGTGGCTGATTTTTCCCTTAGTACCCTAGTCGGCGTGACCAGAGTGGTTTGAACGGCTGTTGTACTGCGATGTGGAAAGCAAATGGAAAAACTACCACATTATCACTATTCCTGGATAGTCTCTTTCCAAAAACAGAAGATCGCATTAAGTGGAGAAACTGTTTTGGAAGAGGCTGTGGACCTGTCATCTGACAGATTACTGATGAATGAATGAATGAATGAACCCTAGTCTATGTGGGAGCCGGGATTGCCCAATCGGTATAGCGACTGGCTACGGGCTGGACGACTGAGGGTTCGGAGTTCTAGTCCCGGTAGGATCAAGAATTTTCACTTCTCCATATCGTCCAAACCGTCTCTGGCGTTCCCCAAACCTCCCATACAAAGGATACCGGGGGCTCCTTCCTGGGGTAAAGGGTCCGATGCGTGAAGCTGACCACTCGCTCCCAACCAGTGTCGAGGTCAACAAAATGTGGATCTATATATCAACTCTCCCATACGTATTTAGGCACAGTGCTTAATTAGTTAAGCACAGGGAAAACTTCACCTTTCCCCCCCCCTGGCACTACAGCCCCAGTGGGCCTAGGCATACCTCCGTGAACTTCTCCTTGAACTTTCGGGTTTCCTAGATCCTAGACATTCGGTAGGACTCCTTGGGCGGGTGATCAGCTCGTCGCAAGGCCTCTACCTGTACACAAACACAGAAAGACGCACACAAACATCCATGCCCTGAGTGCTATTCGAACCCACGATCCCGGTTTCCGAGCGAGCGAAGACAGTGCACGCCTTAGACCGCTCGGCTACCGTGACCGGCCAGGGAAACCTTTACCTTAGACTATTTGGTTAATACAGACATATATTTTCTTTCTATACAAGGGCAGTTTTGAAAAGTTTAAATCTCGTCTTGGCCTGAGACAAATGTTATCAGCAGTATTTATATTTTATTGAATAATTTTGCCTTGTGTTTGAATTGAAGAAATAGTTATATCCTAATATTAACGCAAGGAAATGAACATAACAATGGACATTTTTACGACATAGAACTGCATCATTTTGCTTATGGATGCAACATCTTCAATGTCAAGGTCGGCATTCATTCATTGCCACCAGCTTCTTAATCTCGATGAGTTTGGACATATTATTGGGTTTAGTTTATCACAGTATTCCTGAACTGAAATACCTCATAGTTCACACTGCAAAATCGCCTGGCTGCCGTCTGTCCAGCACTGTCTTACATAAACATGAAATGTTTTCTTTCATCGAACTGAAAAACGCTGGATATGTGTATTGCTAGTGTAAACACCTTGTGTCCGCGGAAACAACACACGAACACGTTTTGACTTCAGCAGTAGCAGGTGTACACACCGAACATGTTCGAGTTAGTTATATACTTATGTGTTCAAATACGCTTATATTCTGTACATGTGCATCAAAGTATATAATAGTACTAATAATGATAATAAGAGCAATCATAATTGCAGGTGAGGTAATATTGTAATATATCATATTATAATAAATATAATTTTTAAATGTAAGAATGAAACTGATGATGATGTGTCTAATAAGACTAGACTTCACAGAAGAAATTTTAAAAATCGCTTACATAAATTCGAGGATGAACGTGAGAATCCATAAGTGAAGATAATGACAATCATAATTCAGCGAGTCTCGAAACTTTCCTAAGGAAAGAGCAATAAAATGTAGTTCATTGCTTTCTTCTGAAGCCAAAACTCAACTTTCAGCAGTGTTTATACATACCTACAGGAATTTGAGATTTAGGGTACTGAAGTTATGAGTGTTCGTATTTGCTTTTTCTTCTAATTAAATTCTAGGAAGATTAAATAATATTAATAATAATAATAATAATAATAATTATTATTATAACAAAAGTATTTTTCACATTGGCACGCTGTAATTTACTCCGGGAACACAATAGCACTCTTTTTGTTAAAAACGAATGAGCGGTTGTACCATCCAGGTCTCTTCCTGCGGTCAGAATTATTCCTACGTTTGTTGCCACGTTGAAAGTATCTAATAAAATCAGGAGATAAATTTTCATTTGGAAACCCCCCAAAACCTCCAAACGATGCTCCTGCAGTATGACTGTTGGAACCCGACACTCCTGCAGCTGGACGGTACACGTTTCCACCGACAGGATTTCCCAGAGGCGCGGAGAAACTCTGGCTACCTGCAGAGCTGCTGGAGGCTCCAACATTAGCTCCGGATCCTTGGAAACCAAAGCTGGAGGCCTGGCTGCTAGCAGCAGAACCAGACCCCCCTCCGTTTACACCACCTGAGACACTGGAGGCCTGGCTACTCGCCTGACTGCCCGATACCGATAGTCCCCCTGACCTGTGGAGAAGAAAATTTTTAAAGAGATATTGGTTGTATTCATTGCCGATACAGGATATCAAAATTTTCTGTGAAAACTTGTTAGTCATTTCGTCAAGGAATCCAATGTTCTTATTGATGTAAACTTTCACTACTGTGTTCACGAAATTCATACTCTGAGCCAGCTCAGTCCAGCCATCCACAACCTACTTTTCTGATAAATGTTTCAATGTTATCATCCAATCTACGCATAGATGCCCCAGAAGTCTGGTCTCCAAATTATTTGTAACAGAAGGGAACACATCTGTTACTGGTCCATACTGACGATGTTAGGCCCACTTTATTATTCGAAAGCATAATTAGGCCTACTATAACGAAAATTGCAGAAACTATATTAGAAAATAGTGAGGTCCAGACCGGCTCTGGGGACCACCAAGCCTCCTATCCAATGGATACCGGAGGATTCTATCCCGAATGTAAAGCGCCGGAGCGTGAAGCTGATCCCTCATCTCCATCTAGTGATGGAGCTATAACTCCACTCCCCCATACATCTTCATGGCATAATGTTCAATTAATTATGCATACGGACAACTATACCTTTTATTACTGAAGTTTGTCTGTATATAAATGCAGAAAGAATGAAGAAGTTATACATATTCGGTCTCCGCCAAAAAATATAAGGCAAGATTATTTTACTGAATGATAATTGTAATACTTCTTAATGTGGCCAAGATCATATATTTGGAAATGACAGTAACAAATCGAAACGTTATTCAGGACGAAATTAAAAACAGATTAAATACGGTAGATGTCTTGTATGGTTCGGTTTAGAAACTTTCTTACTTAAAAAGTATATTTGTGTAGAATTTTTTGTAAACATGCATGGAATATTGCGCCTCTCGTCATCTTTAATCAATTGACCGTACTAAATTACGAGTACGAGGAGAGTGATATGAACGAAAAATTGATATATATTAAAAATATTCGTGGGGCACGCGGTAGCGTAGTTGGTAGAGGCACTATGCTACAAGTCGGAAGGTCTCAGGTTCAAATCCCGATGAGATGACTGAATTTTCCAATTTACCTAATCTTTCCAGCCGCATTATGACCCTGGAATAGACCCAGCCTCTAACAGAAATGAGTACCAGGAATCTTCCTGGAGGATAAAGGGCGACCTGCGCGTAAGGCTGACAAACTCGCAGCCACGTGTGAGCCGATTGTCTAGAAAATGTGGTAGCCTCGGCCTTTCAAAAACCTATGGTCCCTCACGGCCTGTTACAGGGATAGCTTTACTCTTTTTAATACAATGCTGAAGCTAACTTCCCATTGTTTGTTTGTGTGTTGCCGGGCGTACAGATGGCTTCAGCAGCCCGAAACTATGTCCACATGTCACCGTTCCTTCAGCACTTTCCATACAGAGCACCTCATAAATAAATAGGAGGTTAGCTCAAGTGGTAACGCATGTGGCTTGTGTTCTACGGTTAACCGGTTCGAATTCTGGTTATCCTAACCAAGATCATGTTTGCGGTTTTGTTCAATCCCTCCAGGCGAACGGCATGATAGTGTTTCGAAATAGACCATGACCGCTTCTTTCAGTATTTTCCATTTCATTATGCGTAATAGCAATCTCATTTTATTCTGCATTTCCTCTGCAATTAATACAACGTCATTAATTACTTGTAACTCTATGTTTCGTATAATGAAATTTATAAAGGAAAATTTGTGTATTGACCTTTCTAATGAGCATGGGAGAGTAAAAAGGTAAAAAATGTAAAGTTGTTCCTGTGCTTAACTAATTCAACACTACGCCATGAAGGCGTATTGGGGAGTGGATGTATAGATCCATATTTTCTTGACCTCGGCACTAGCTGGAGGTGAGTAGACAGCTTCACGCACTGGCCTCTTTAGCCCTGGTGAAAGAGCCCTCGGTACCCATTGGATAGGAGGTTGGGTGGACCCCAGAGCCGGTCTGGACGACATGAAGAAGGCATGGGACAGTAGCCTATTAGAAATTTCTGTATATAGAATATCAAAAGTTAAGTGACATAGAAGTGTATAGATGTAAGGTCATTGTGTGTACTGTTGTTTCCTGCTTCGTACCCATAGTAATCAGGGAACTGCGAATTAAAACTTGAAGACTGGCTAGCAGCCTGGGAGGCGCTGAAGCCATTGGAGCCTGCCTGAAAATTGAAAGAGTGACTCTGGCTGGCTGTGTGTCCCTGGGCCTGACCGTGTCCCCCGTAGCTGCTGCTGAAGCTTGCAGATCCTGATATCCCTCCACCGCTCGGCTGAACTCCGAAATTAAATTTGGTACTCCGGCCATCTGTGTCATAACTGAACCGGGGTTTGGCGCCATCTTTGGCTTCACTGTCTCCATGGTTACTGCTGCTGCCCTTAGGCTGTGGAGGTGATGTTCCGTACTTGTCTGCGGCTTTATCGGGAAACACAATAGCCTCGTCGCCAGCTGCTGTAAAAACAAGAACTGGCACTATACAAATGGGGCGCCATTAAATGTGTGTAGAAGTATAAAAAATGAATAAAAAATAACACATGGTAATATCTGTAAATTGTCATTTATTGCCTTTCATTGGAACCTGTAGAAAGTTGTGTATAACTTAATTCAGACCCTCAAATTATGTGACCCTTAAAATGAAGTAATATCAAGGAACTTATACAACTCCTTCGAATTTTATCATAGTGAGCTCCAGAGTTCGGAAGATAACTAAATATCCACGTTTGCTTGTAACCTTCAATGTATGAATGTATTTTATTTATGTGTTTTATGTGAGTTGCGGAACAAGCAACCTACTTCGCTAAACAACATTAATGGGTTGGTCTTCGTGAAGGAGAATTGTGTCTTGTGATGGAGGAACTAGATTTGTATACATTATTTAAACGAATCTCTTGCTTCAAAAGGAAAAGGGAAGTGTCCCTTAAAATAAATTAAGACCATTAAAACACTCCAGCTTTAGTCTATTACCTGAAGTCGAGGGAGTCGAGTGACAATGCAGATTTTAGCCCTGGATATTTACTTGTTTGATTATCCATCAGGTCAACTATACAGATGTTTCTCAGTTTGTTAATGCATCTGCTGTATTTTTTGCTACAGTTGGTTGAGGGGCTATGCTACAAGCCGGCAGGTCGTGGGTTCAAGTCCCGACGAGGTTATTGGATTATTTCAATTGACCTAATTCTTCCAACCGCATTATGGCCCTGGGGTCGACTCAGCCTCTAAAAGAAATGAGTACCAGAAACTAATTAAATAATTTTCCTTGGGAGTAAAGCGCGGCCGGCGCGTAAGAGTGACAACCTTACCGCCATCTTTGAGCCGATTGTCTAGATAATGTGGGACCCACAACGTCTCACAACCCCATGGGTCTTCACGGCCTGGTATAGGGATAGCTTTACTTTTTTTTTTTTTTTACTGGCACAAAATGGCGAGCAGGATAGCGCAGGCGATGTAGCAATGGGCTACACGCTGGACTGCAGATGGCTCAGAGTGGGATTTCGGATCCTGGTATAGAGGCAAAGATTTTGCTCCTCTCCACGTCGTCAAGACCAGGTGTATAATGATATTGTATTTGAACCCATAACCTTCAGGCTTAAAAATAGGGCAGTGAATGAATGCAGAGACTGCTCATTACTTTTTTACTTGGTGGGACACCACACAGGGCAAATTCAGCTTTACTGGCACAAAATAGCTAGGGTTCATCTACGTGTATATCAGTGCAGGGTAGATCAGCGATTGAAATGCCATGAACTAGTGAGGGAACGGATTCATATTGGTTCGCGAAATCTTTGTGAATGTGCTGACAGATACAACGCGGTGCACTAGCGCAGCATGTCCTAAATGTAAAAAAGTAAAGCTATCCCTGTACCAGGCCGTGAAAGCCCATAGGGCTGTGAGACGTCGAGGCCCCCACATTTTCTCTAGACAATCGGCTCAAAGATGGCGCTAAGGTTATCAGCCTTACGCGTCGGCCGCCCTTTACCCCCAAGAATATTCCTGGTGCTCATATTTCTTGGAGGCTGAGTCGATCGCAGGGCCATAGTGCGGCTGGAAGGATTAGGT